GAAAACTTTCAGAGAGACACTTGGGTCCTAAATTACATGTATGTTACAAGACACCATAATGGCAATAGACACAAGACAAGTATTAATGGCTGGATTTGAACTGAACATAGCCTTTTTAAATAAAACATTCTTTAGGGGGAACAAAATCATTAAAAGCTTAGTAACATTTACGGCAATTTTGTACTTACCTACCAGGGCACTGCTTGATGCAAAAGACCTTTCTCTTGTCAAAATAGAGAGCCATATTGTTATATCAGCTTACCTTTATAATAAAACCTTGATATTCAGAGCTATAATATTCTACTTCATATCCAGACGGTAGAATACCATTAGTACTCTGAGGTTCATCCCATTCTAATGTAGCACTGTTCCATGAAACACTTTTTACTTTGACAAATGTTGGAGGACTGGGTAGAATTTCTATAAAAATCACCAATAATATTATACCAAGTGTTATGGGCCATAAAACTGTGTAGATAAATCTTGCATATTTTGCATAGTCAAAAGCAGATTTTTCCCAGAAATGTCATACAACAAAGTCTAGATTTTCATTGCCATTGATAATAAAGATGGGTTCCTTTATTTTCATTTATGAAAATGAAAATGCTAATATTATTTGAATAGAAAGTAGAGGTGTTCTAATGACTTGGAAAAATACCAGTTTGTCTCACATGTCCATGAATTTTTTTTTGTTTATCCAGACTATATACACATGGACATTTATGATTGGTTAAAAACTAAGAACATAATGATATGATTAAGAATACATGATAAGTCATTAGAAACACAAATTAATCACATAGTTTGCTTAATTTGACACTGAAAAATAAGGTAACCCATCTTTAACATGTCTACCACCCTACCATCATAATTATTATATACTCTCTCCACCATAATATTGAGAAGTTGGTCAAAAAGTTGTGTTTCTCACAGTGTGAAATGATTCAAATTGTAATTCAAGGTCTCTGATGGTAATTTCCCTCCAAGACTTTTCATGTGAACATTTTATTTGGACCAGATCGTAGAGATTCTGAAGCAAGGTTCTTTCAGATATGTATTTAATATCAGATAAAACTTGTAGGTATATCCCAAAAACTCTCGGTATATTCTGGGAAAATCTTGAGTCCTTCCTCTTTTCAAAGGACGGGAACAATTCAAATTCTAGACAACAACTTACCCAAACCTTTCTGAACACAACCTTCAATTATTGGTAAATTGACAACACATTTAGCTAATGATGAATCAGCTTTCACTGCTGAACCACCACACAATTCCAAACAAGGGGAAGTAATTTGATTTATTTGACAACAATTCCTATGATCTCTTTCTCCTGCAAGTACATCATTCCCACATCATCGAAAGAAATTTCATGTGAATTTAAAGGTATTTATTGAAATGTGGTCAATGTGCATCACTTACAGCAGGAATTTATATATGATCTCAAAGCATAATCCAAATCAATAATGAATAAAATAGTCTGAAATCTAGTTCTGCTAGAAATGGTCCATTTCAGCTATCTGTATCACTTTTCAGAATGAAAATCTAACATATGGTTCTTCTGCACATATGTGATAAGAATGAAACAGATGTGTAAATGTGACACTCCTTCATCTATGCCATTGTTGACAAGAAATTTGTAAAAGAGAGTAGAATGGGGTCTTACCGGCTAAACATGTAAACACAGGGTCTAGGTAACCATAGCAACTGAGTA